TATAGTAACCAGGTTACCATTCTTCCTGCCATCAGTATTTTCCACCCGCCAATACATCTTCTGTACTGCAGACTGAGTCATTTTTCTCAAATTCAGTTTCCAAACTGATATGTCACTCTCCTCCAGTGGATTTTTCTCGATGTGCTCCTTGGTAAAGTATTTCAAGGTCTGGTTTTTGCTTACCTTGCTAGCATCATTTCTCTTTACTAGGCCACATACATTCTTTGATCCAATAGTACTACCCAGCCAAGGCCTGAGCTTCTAAAAAAATTTTTTGCTTCTTTTTTGTCTGAACTTGCTTTCCTGTCTTTGAACTTTCCCAGATCATCTTGAGGACACTATCTTTGAAGTCCTAATATTTCAATGGTAACAAACTTAGGCCATTTATATTTAATAAAACTTATAGTTCCATTAGGAAAATACTCGTATAAATTAATCACGTAAATGAATGGGAACACACACACAGAAATACATGGGATAATGAGTTTTATGTTACAAAAATGTGATGTATACTCAAGTTTCTAAGCACAATTATAAAGTAGGGAAAAGTGTATAGCTTTAAGGAAGTAAACAAATTTATTAATAGATTTTCATATTGAAAAATTAAAGTAATTCGAGAATAGTTTGCTCCTCCTTTAGGAGGAACAAATGGTTGCCACTGGCAGCCATTCTTGCACTGTTACAGACTGGACAGTGATGCATCTGATTAGAACAAGAGTGTAATGGAGAGTGTTTTTCAAATTGTGGGTCAGGTGTAAATAATTAAAGGAGACGTCGTCAGGCTTATTATTTGTGTCTAGCTTAATTTTCTTCAGATACATGTTCATATGCAAGGCTGCATTAAGATCAGACTTAATTTTCACTTAATCCATCAAAAAATTTTTCTTAAGCTTAATCAAGCAATGGTACAATGACTGAAAGAAGCAAATTGTTCATATACTCCAACATGGCTTCATGTATCATTATTACAATTGATGTTGTGACTTATTTCTGAAAAAATATGAAATAGCTACCATCCTGGTCTCATAATTGAGGGGATGGGTGGTTTAAAAAAATCTAAAAGGTATCTGACTTGGTTTGTAAATAATTTTGATCCATAACATAATGAGGGGCTAAGCTATAAACCATGCATAAATACATGGAATACATTTTGGCAAAAACAAAATTAAGATGAACATTGTCATTATGAATCTCTTAAGTGGAGAAAGAGAAAGTCATTAAAGATTCCACATAGTTTTCTCTCCTTGGTTGCTTGGTGTTAGCACTCAATCAGATTCATTGAAAAAAGTAGTCCTATGCTGAAATAAGAGTGTTGAAAGAATGTGTAGATGTATTTTAGTGCTGATACCCAGTTACTATTTTAGGTCTATCATTATAATAACTTTTAGCAGTTGTTATGTGTTCTTAGGCAAATCCCCTAACTTCTTTGAGCCTCAGTGTGTTCACCTGTAAAAGGAGAACAATACTAGCAATCACACCCATATCACAGGCCTACTGGAGGCATAATGAGTTTATATATGGAAAATTCCTACCATAGTGCCTGCAACTTGGTAGGTCCCCACTCAATCCAGCTCCCACAAATGCAAACAGGCAGACACATGTGCAAAACACATGGGCTCAGGCACAGAAGGACAATTACGACTTTCAGGTAGGCATGAAGATCATCCCATGGGTCATAGAGAAATGAAGACAAATTAAAGAAAAAGAATGGCTCAGGCAGGCGAGTGGACTATTTCATGGAAACCACTTGAGGCAAAATTCTTCATTTTTGGTGATCATTACTATGCTCATTTTATATGCTTGTTGGTTGCTAGTCAGCCATGACATCACATAAGATTTTCTAAAAAGGAGTAGATTAAAATTTATAATCCTGTTTCTTCCAATTACTCATCCCCACTTAGCCTGCAGGAATAGCTGATAAGGATCTTTCGTAAAGTGGTTTCTCAGAATCATGTTCATAAAGCTATAATTTGAAGCCTTTTCATTCTATGGAATGTGATCCAATGTTATTTCTTTGTGGAGTGGAAAGGGGTAGGTGGAGAGTGGGTGGAGACTGAGGGGATCAGGGCAAGGAGAGTGAGAGTAAAATTAGCCATAAATATTTGTCATCATCTTTTAAACTAAGTATAACATTTGGACTCATTCTTAGATATACAAGTTGTCTTTGAAATCTTGGAACATTTTCCCCTTATTGAAGGTTCTGAGAAAAGGTTCCTGAGGTTCCCCAGGGCAGGATCTGCCTACAATTAGCTGACAAGGTGGATCAGTGATTTGCCAACTTCAGGCTTCCCAGGGATTGCTCTGAGAAGTGGTGGGGGCCTGGAGCCAACTTAGGGTGTGGTTCAAGGCATGGGGCCATTCATACTGGAGCACCTGGGATGCTCTTTTCTAGAGAGCATATGGGCAACAGTGGTGGTGGCAGCTGAGCACCAGTGTGCAAGTCCTAGCTCTGACAAGTGAATGATTTCAGGGATGTCACTTAACCTTTTTGTTTCTGATTTTCTATGTCTGAAATGTGCAGATTATGATATCTGTCCTGCTTATCAGAAAACATTGTTTTGAAGAGCAAATTGTATAATGTATATGAAAATGCCTGGAAAACAAGAAAGCTTAATACAAATACAAACCATTCCAGGCTAAAATGGAGATTCTGCGCTGCTTGAAGGAGGAAAGTGTGTTGAAAATGCTACCAACAGGGCTATCCTGATAAGTGGAGGGGTGTGGCAAACAGAGAGACAATATGGAGTGGTGGCTTTTAGCCACCTGAGGTCGAATCCTGATGCTACCACATACGGCATGCACATCAGAAGCATGTTATTTAACCTCTCTTAGTCTCAGTTTCATCATCTGTATAATGGGAATTATCAAATATTTACTACCTGGGTTGCTGTGAAAATGAAATGAGAAAATACATGTAATGTGCTTGCCATGTTGTAAGCTCTTAGTGAATATTAGCAACATATAAATAGACATAACAGCTCTTCTAACTTTGCACTATGGGCTGACTTCATGTATATGACACCTTTTTTTTTTTTTTACACAAGACGGTTCCCAAGTTCTCTATGCCCTACACAGGGGAGGTAAAATGAGAGAAATCACAAAAATTGTGACAATTTCCAGATTAGACATAGTGTAGGTGTTGCCATGTCTGCAGTGTAGAAGTCACCTTGAAAAGAATTTGGTCATATTTCTTAAACATTTTTTAGGGTTGTCTTAGAGATGATCCAAGAACATTTTTTTTTCATTCATTCAACAAACTTTTACTGAGCACTCAGTGTGTGTAGGATGAGCTAGGCTAGGAGAGAAGGATGCAGTGGTGAGTAGGATAAATAAAATTCCTCTGTTAAAGAAGCATATGCTCTAGTAGAGAAGACACAAAAAAGTACATATTTAGTATGTAGTATGTAGCAACTAGAGTTAGGAGGAAAAGTAAGATGGGGAAAGGGACAGCATTGTCTTTGGGAGGACCAAGGGTGGAAACAGTAGCCACTCTCCCCTGTTCAGAACCCAGGAGCACAGAGTGCAGGTCACAGCTCAAAGGGCATTGCACTTGGCTGTCCTCTGTGGCTGTTTGTTTTTTCTTTTTTTTTTTTTTTTAATACAAGCATCCATTTTTGTTTTAAGACATGAAATGAGGGAATGACCATATATCCTGTCTGTCTCTAATTGAAGACAGTGAGTTTGGGCAGTTAAGATCCTAGGATCATAACTGTGATAAGGCAGAAGTGACGATCTCCTCCTGCCTGGACCCCTGTCCTGGCCCATCACTACCCATAGGGTAGGGGTGTGTGTGTGTGTGTGTGTGTGTGTGTGTGGTCTGGGGTGGGGTGGGAAGGTGGATGGCTTGGTATACATAAAATCTTTTTCAGAATACTTGAAATGCAGACCTTGTCTGATAAGACTTCTGTGACTCAGGTATATTATCTTCATAGCTCACAGTTTCATGGGACATTTGTGCAGATGAAATTGATCAGCAGCAGGAGGAAAATAGTCGTTGCCTTGGCAACCAGCTGATGACTCATCCAGGATTTGAAGCAGCCAAAGCCATGAGACTGCAGTAATTTTCCAGATGCTTAACCCGCCTTTCTCTTTCTCTTCTCTCTCATTGTTTCCCACTCTCCATCCTTCATTTCTTTCTCCACGCCCACTTCCCTGGATGCTGCTCACTAGAGCCTGAGCTCTCTGGAGCAGGTATTGAGACCTCATCCCACCACTGCATATGTGACTTGATCTGCTGCTGCTCCTCATTCTAGCAACCAGGGGATGGATGGCCAGGCTGCAAAAGTCTTGTTGCTACAGAGCTCCAAGATGCTGCTTGTTGCCTTTAATCATAAAAAGCTTCAGTGAGTATAGCACCTTTTCTCCTAATCGAATCTAACCTAAGCTTACCCGTTTGTCTTAGAGATCTGCAGTGCATTTCTTCGGGGAGAGGCAGTTAAACCTTGGGCCTCCCCAAGCAAAGTTGTGAAATGATATTTAAAGGTGACAAGGCCCTTTTTGACAGCAGCTCTCTCTGCTGGGTCTTCTCATCCTCTTGGCCCACCTTTCCTCACTCATAATCTGGGGTCTGGTTTTCCAGGCTCTTCTTAATTATCCACCGTAATCCCCTCTAAAATGCAAAGTGTTAGAAGTTTAAACCATTCCGCTATCCAAAGGCATTTTCATTTTAACAAAGAGCTTTCAAAGGCAAATTATTGAAGACCCCAAAGAAAAAAACATTTTAAATTAGCTTTTCAAATACAGATTTAGGCAGGGGGGCTTTGGTGGTGGGCTGTGTCTGGTAAGAAGGTTTTCCCCTGCACATCATATGTGCAATACCTTCTTTGCTGCTGATGCTGACTTTAAAGACATTCATATTGGATACTTGTTGGTGCCTCAATTCTGTATCCCACCCCCCTATACGTGTGTATTCAATTCACATGTGTACACACACACACACACACACACCCTTGAGCAGCAGGAGCAACCAATGGGGAAACAACAAACCCCAAGTGATAAAGACTCGCTTTTACTTATTGGATGTGTGTCAAGCATCTACTCAATGCAGAACATGGTAGCCATCACTGGGATTGGGATATCCACCTCAAAATGGCTTACAGTCAGAACAGATTAAAGGCAAGCAGACACACACTTCTGTGGGAATGAGTAATATGGTTTGGGGAGAGGGTGCTGGTTATGACTGCCTCTCAGAGTTTGCCCTCTGGGTCCCTTTACTGTTCTTGGTCTTAATTAATTCAGTTGGCTCAGGCCTATGAGAGCTTCCTCACTGGTGCTCCACTGCCCACCACAGTGTCACTCCACCTTGAGGTGACCAGTCTGCACAACCACCAGAGTCACAGACAGATGCTTATTCCCTTTATCCTTTCCTGAAGACAGCTTTCCTTCTGGTTGCAGGGACCTTCACAGTCTGAAAAGAAGCTGAACACATATCCTTCCGGTCTCTCTGTGCATTTACACCTACAGAAACACACATGACTTCTGAGATAGGTGAGTCCTTAAAGGGTATGCACTCCAGCCATCTGTCTAGTGCCGGCATCGCTTTGAAAGCATCTCCAATAGTTGTCATCGTCATCTCACTGCACTCAAATGCCCCAGAATGAGCAGCTGCTTCTCACAAGAAAACTCCTTTGTTTTTGGACAAGTTTTAATGTGAATTTATTTGTGCACTTATTGAACAATTCCTTTACTCAACAAAAATGAATTGACATGCCTATGGTTTTTAGACACTGGAGGTGCAATGGTGAGCAAGATCATCATTGCCAACATGGCTTGTGGTCTTCAGGGGAGGCAAAATTAACTGAACAATCAAGCAGGACTATATTAGCGATGGGGAAGAGTCCTGGGAGGCAGCAATGCCTGGGTTGGAGCGATGAGACTATAGGATAGGGAACTCTGGGCCAGTGAAGATGGGAGGCAGGGATCAGGGAAGTTCAGAAATGGCTTTCTTGGGAAAGTGATGCAGGGGCCAAAGAATGGAGTTAGCTGGGCAGGACAGGGCTGGGTGGGAGGAAGAGCATTCCAGGCAGAAGGAATAGATTGTTAAGAGATTATCTGGAAGTGGTAGGAACCACAGCAGGTTTGAGAAAGGGAAACGAGGCCAGTGTGGCTGGAGAGTCCAGAAATGGGCAGCAAACATGGCTTCCAGGACACTGTGGTAGAAGCCCCAGCTGACTCGCAGTGCAGTTCAGATGAGGGAGCAATAATGGTTTCTTCCTTTGTCTCTCCTTCTTCCTCTGCTCCATGTTGCCCTCCTCCTCTGTCTTCTTCTTCTTCTTTTTTTTTTTTAGTGCTCTATAACTAATTTGGTCTTTCTCAGAAACTCCATCTGCTGAGGAGCAAAAATTTCAGTTTCAAAGCTTAGCGTGAAGTAAAAATATAAATACAGACAGTCCCTGAGTTACGGTGGCTCGACTTAATGATTTTTTTGACATAACGATGGTGTGAAACTGTCACAAATTCTATGTAATGTATAGTATTCAATAAATTATGTGAGCTATTCAATGCTCTATTATAAAATAGGCTTCGTGTTAGGTGATTTTGCTCAAATGTAGGCTGAGGGAAGTGTCTTGATCACGTTTTAAGGTATGCTAGTCTAAGCTTCAATGTTCAGTGGGTTAGGCTGTAGTAAATGCATTTTCGACTTATGAGATATTTTCAACTTATGACGCATTTATCAGGATGTAATCCTACTGTAAGTTGAGGAGCATCTGTAACCTTTTGTGAGTAAACATGCTCAGATGCAGCAACCCTGACCTGCAACTCTTCAAGATGGTTTTGAAGAGTGGAGTGGATTTTGGCTGACTTGGTACTTGTAACAATAATGACGAAAGAGACCTTGGAACCTGGCAGTGACTTGGACTGTCTTCTACTTTTTTCAGTCTCTTCAGAAGCGTCCTTGTCTTCCTGGCCTCCAATTGCTCTGCTGATGTTGGTGGCTGTGGCCTGCTACTTGTACATCTTGTAGCCGGGTTGTTTTTCCTTTTCTCTCTCAAATTGGTAAGAGCCCAGCATCTGCCCCCAGGATGATCTGATCTTGTCTCTGCTCTTGCTGTATTTTTGTCATGTTCTCAAATGGCTTTGTCCACATGTCCACCTGAAGCTTGTGGAGTAAAGTCTTCTGATTTCTGCTCCTATAAGTCCTGGTGCAGCGGGATAATTGAGGAATCAGAGAGACCGAGGGTCGAGTAGGATATATATTATTTATTATTTAGGTGCACATACTCAGTCAGATTAACATCCAAAAAGACTGAGCCCTGAACAAAGAGTCTGGTTACCTTTTAAGCATTTTGTGGGGTGGGGGGAGATATGTGCAGGGGGAAGACAGTGAGAAAGAAAGACAGTTATTCAGTTGAGGCATGCATTACATTATTTCTTACTTTCCAAGGAAAAACACATTTTATGACTTGAGTTTATCTGCCTAGTGACCTTGCATCTGCACAGTTAGGGAAACAGGGTCTTCACAATGCCTGGGAAAGGGAGAGATAAGGCTCACTAGCCACAGAAAAACAGGCAGTTAATTTTAAAGGAATCCAGCTCTTTCTCTTCCTCAAGGGGAATTGGGTTTTCTTACACACAACTAAGTTTTTGCTTACACATTCTTTAATATCTTTTAATTCCTGTTTCACTGGTAGGCTGTGGGCTTTCAGCTAGGAGCTCATTGTATAAGGGAATGTATGCAGAATGAGAAGTATGGATTAGATGTTTTGTTTTCTACCATAGAACAGCAAGGGGAACCTTATGTGTTCTGTGGGGAACCCATGATCTCGGCAGCCAGACTTGATTCTGGATTAAGCTAAAAGAGAGGATAAAGGAATTCAGGAAATCTTTTCTTGCATGACTACTGGCTTGCTGCAAAATTCCATTTCAAAGTAAAAAATCAGAATATGAACTCTTCCTCCCAGCTTCTTTGCATTTTTCCTTTGCAGTTTTAATCTTTCCCAGAGCAGACGGATGGCTCTGGCCATCTAGGGGATACATTTACTTTTTTGGGTTGGCGTAAGAGAAAAGTGTGTGGGGTGTGTCTATGTTTCAAAATAGGATTTCTGTTACTACACTATTTTAAGGATTTTGGGTGCTTTTCCCTAGGATCATTGGGAAGTCACTGAATCATTTTTAGCAAGGGAGTGACAGATTCAGATTTGCATTTTTATAAAGACCTTGCTGTCTACTGTAGAGAATAGATTGGCTGGGGCAAGCTACATGCAGGCAGATCAGTCAGCAGTTACTGGGTGGTGGCAAAGGAGATAAACAGAAGCAGAATTGAGGGATGTCTAGATGGTTAGACAACAGGATATGGAGATGGATCGGATATAGGGTTGAAGGAGAAATAGGTATCAAGAAAGAACCTCAGTTTCTGCTTTATATGACTGGAGGAATTTGGGGACCATTTACTGAGAAAGGGAATAGAAGGAGACCCAGATTTAGAGAGTGGAGAAAAATGATGTCCAGTAGGACATTTTGAGTTTAAAGTATCTCAGAGAAATGCAAATGGAGATGATCAGTAAGTGGTGGGATGTTTGAGTCTGAAGCCCAGGGCAGAGTCATTTATGTGTAAATGTCTTAGTCTGTTTGAGTGGCTTAACAAGATACCACAAACTGGGTAGTTTATAAACAACAGAAATTTATTTATCACAGTTCTGGTGGCTGGAAATCCAAGATCAAAGTGTCAGTAGATTTGGTGTCCGGTGAGGGCCCACTTTCTGGTTCACAGATGGCTCCTGCTAGCTGTGTCCTCATGTGGTGGAAGGCGCATAGCCGCTCTCTGGGGCCTCTTTTATAGGGGCACTAATCCCATTCATGGGGGGTTCCACCCTCATGATCCAATCATCCCCCAAAAGCTCTACCTCCAAATACATCACATTAGTGACTCACTTTCAACACATAGGCTTGGGGGCACATACATGTCAGACCATAGCTGTAAGTGACCGTACGTGCAGTGGAAGCAAACAACCCAGTGGGGGAGCATGGAAGAAGAGAAGTGGGTGTTGGACGACGAAAGAAAGCACAGAGGTTTGGTGGTAGATAGAGGGGACTTATATTAAATGTATACAAAGAATTTATAGGAAGAGAGGCTTTTCTTGTTAAAGAGGGGAAAGCCTTGAGCAGTTTTAAGTACACAATCCTGAGCCAGTGGCAAAGTGAAGAGGAGAGAGTGGATGGATTTAGAGCACAGCTTCCCTATCTCCTCAGATAGGGAAAAAGAAAATTCCTCTATGACATAAAGGAGGGAGCAAGGGTTCACCTAGGGAAGATAAATTTGTAGTGGGGAGACCAGGACTTGAAGGCATTACCATCTAATGATCTCCGTTTTTGTTGTTATATAGGATACAATGTCCCCCAGAGAGTGGATTGGCTTTTAAGGATGGGGTGTTGGTTGGGGCTTTAAGGATATGGTAAAGGTGTTGCTGTGAGGCAATGGGAGACAGGTGAACTGGGTTAAATAGGGTAGATGATAGCATTTTGTTTTGTCATCTCCAGCCTTAACTTTATGTGTTTTCCCTGCTCTGGCCTTTTCTCCTCTGACTCTTCCCAACCACTGGTTCTCAGGATCTACTGCCTTCTCCATTGGATTCTTCCCCCATCCCACCCCCAATTAGTATCTGAGAAATTAGACTGAGAAAATGATGCACACGTTGAGTTAACAAATCAAAGAATCACTCCATAAAGGTCAGCCATTTGTTATTTGAATAAAACTTTAAAAACAAAACAAAACACCATTTCCCTTAATTCTCTGTAGCAAATTGGAATCTTCCTTCCTCTTTACTTCCCTTCTCCCTTTTCCCCAGACTAGGTGTGCTAAGATTCCCTATGAGTTGCCCTTCTGCTAAAAGATTAAGAGAGGAGAATAAGTTCATGAGCATGGCAAAGCTGGCGGAAACAGGGAGATCCAACTAAGACCACTGTAAGCTTTGCTACCATTAAAGGAAGAAAAGATAACTGTATGAAACGAACAAATATTTGAAAAACACAGTAATTTCAAAACATCTAAAAGCAATTATTTTGTTTTGGTCTGTGTGGAAAACATTAGAATATAAAACAGATTAAAAAATAAAGATGGCTAATGCTACTAATGACAACTTTATAAGAATACATGAAAAGCAGTATGTATGACTGCCCTTCAAAACCATTAAACAGTATGTGTGACTGCCCTTCAAAACCATAATATATTCTCAATATATGAACAATAAAAATATACATAAAGATATAATCAATATATTGGACAATAAAACATACATGAAGATATAATCAATATATTGAGAATATATTACCTATTTATTGGAGTGTAGCAAGGTAGCATTAGCTACAGAGTATAATTCTTCCTTTTAGAATTGTGATTGAAGTTCAAAGCTGAGCACAGGAGGTGCAAAGAACATATATTCACCTTCAGAGGACCATTGTGAGTTGCTGAGGCCAGTCTTCAGAGGACTGTACATAAAGAGGACTGAAGAGAGAGGAAAAGGCTATCTTTTACAGGAATGCACTGTTTGTGTTAAGGGATGATTCTTCTTCTTCCTCTTCGCCTCCTCTCCCTGTGGATGTTGCAAGAGAGCTACCTACAACATTACAAATGGCTAAGGCAGCCCCTCTTGTAAGTTTCAGAACCATTGGGGCATCTGATTGTTCGTGGCTATTGGGGTATGGAGAAAGTCAAACAAAGAAAGTGAGAGAGAGAATATAAATAAGGAGCTAGAATACATTTCCCCTGTTTGGTGTGATAAGAATGCTGTTGTTAAAATTAGATTTGGCTGCAGGTGATAGAAAACCTAAAGCAACAGTGTGACTTAAGTTGGATACTTATCTTGCTCTCTCATATAAACAAAATCCATGGATCTGGGCAATCTAAAGGACTTCCAGTTCTGGTAATAATAGACGAGGCAATCTGGGCCAGCCCCCGCTGCCAAAGGCAACAAAATGCTGGGAAAAAACCTCTCCTTAAAATCATCAAAGAGCTAGCAAGATAGTGAGACATACCAGGCTACGACCCAGAGAAATGAGTAACACCAGGCCACTTTTGTCTTGGGGGTACTTTTTAGTTCAAAGGAGACCAGAGAGACTGATTTGTACTTTCTTGTGGCTCCTGAAGAAGAGAGAAAAAGTGGTAATTAGTGGATCCTGGTGAATCACCTCTGCTTTATGCTGTGGTCCCAAGGGGCTGTACTTTAAGAGTGTAGATAAACCAGAAATTTATTTCCTTGCGCAAGAGTCTAGTTTCTTTGTGTCATATGATGTTCCACAAATCCAAAGGCCTTCAACCTAGATTAAAGTGATCTTCCCCTGCTAATGTCTCTATTGCTTGGTAGAAGCCAACAAAAATGCCCTAAGGAAATAACAATATGTTAGGTCTCAAATTATTTCAGCAAATAATTTTCTTTCAAATGAAGTATGTACTACACCATCAAAGATAATGCAGCACATGAGGAAATAAGACATGATGAATAAGAATCAACAGAAAAAAAGACAGTTTAGGTACAAAAGTGATACAGATATTGGAATTATCAGACAGAGACTATAGAACAACTGTTTGCTCTCTTCAAGAAAATAAATACTTGAAAATTTTAGCAAAACCCAGAAATTCTAAAAAGTGATAGAATAGAGTTAAAAAGAGTATCAAATAGAAATCCTAGAACTAAAAATCACAATAAGAAAAGTAAAGAACTCAGATGGAATTAACAGAAAATTAGATATAGTTGAAAAGAGAATTAGTAAATTGAATATTATTAGAAGAATCTATCCAGTGTGGAGAGCCAAAAGGATAAAAAAACTGAAGAGAGGGTAAGAGACAGGGAGAGTACAGTGAGAAGGTAGGACAATCATCTAACTGATTCTTAGAAAGAGGGAAAGGAAATAGTGCATCTGTCAAATTTTTCTAATGGGGCAGAAGTGGTATTTGAAGTGATAATGAAAGAATTTTTCAAAACAGATTAAAGACATTACTCCATAATTTTAAGAAGTCTAATGTGTTCCAAGCAGAATATATTTGAAAAGGATCCATGCTTAAACATATCATAGGAAGAAATATTGATACCAAGAAAATACCTTGGATTACCTAGAAAGTAGGAGTAGTTTGGCCAACAGCTAACTTCTCAATAGGAGCAATGGGATTCCAAATACAGAGCACTCAATATTCTAAAAGCAGAAA